GTGGCCTTGGGCAAAACTTTCAACCTCTCTGGGCCTCCACTTCCTTATTTGCAAAATAGGGTTTGGACTTAAAAGCCAAGATGCCTTCCAGCTCTGACATGCTACATTCTAATAGTCCAGAGCCAGTTCTCAGCAATTAGAATCACCATGTTGCTAGGATCTGATTCTCTACCTGTTCTATTGTTTAATGCTGCCACTAAGACACTGAATTGCAATTGCTTATCTGTCTGTGCCCACCCTACTAGGCTGCATGCTGTGCGGGGACAAGACTATCACATCAACCTCCTTTCCATTGTATCCCAGCACCCTGCAGAGAGCCCCAGGCACAGGTGGAATTCATTCATTCCACAAATGGCTATTGAACAACAGCTACGTGGCACCTTGCTACTTACTGACGCTGGCACCTAGTTAGTATCTCTGTGGCCCTGAGCTGCTTCTTCTGAGAGTAGCAGTTGCTCACTCTGACCTTGGGGAGAGCCTGAGTGCTGGTCTCTGTGATGTCAGAAGATAGTATAGCACTTGAAGAGGGCCCAGGAGAAGATGGAGTGGAGGATACCTGCGGAGGTTGTCCCTGGGGAAGACGCTAATACCAGTGCAGTCTTGGGGCCCATGCACTGCCCGCTGGGCCACTGGAGAAAGCTGCTGGACCTTTACATGGCTGTGTCACAGCTTCATCAGGGATCTACCTATGTGTGACCTGATCCTGAACCCCCTCTTTGACAACCACTTGCCCAAAGGTTGAGTCTGCAACATCTGCCTCCAGGAACATGCTCGTTGAACTGAGTTCAAGTCGAGGTTTTAGTTTTTACCTTGGAGATAGAAGGTGGCTGGGAACTTTTTCTCGAATGAATCAAGTTTCAGAAATTTCTGCTGAGGTCTGAGTATGGACAATGGGCTGGAACTCAGTCGTGACCTGGACAATAGCGGGAAGATAGGCTTCTCCTTCCTTGAACAGCTTCATGAAAGCGGCTCTGGCCAGGGTCCAGCAGGCAAGAGGTAGGGCGACCTCTGCCCACTTGGAAAGACTCAGATGACCCCATGTTTATTTTTAGCTATTTTTGTACACAACCCAAAAGACCTTTGGACACTGGGCTCATGTCCACGGTGAGATGAGAATTAATCAGTGACAAAAGCATTAGAGACCCTCTCCTGAAGAGCCCAAGTGCCAATCCAGGGACCCTAGGTCTCCCGAAACTGAGATTTGAGCCACAGAACCTCATCATTTATAAACAGCTCTAGTTCCTAATCTGATACTTGATAGTTACTCGCTTTGTGAGCTTGGACAAGTCCCTTCCCCTCTCTGAGCCTCAGTTTCCTCATCCATAAAATAAGGGTGGGGGGTGAACCAGAGGGTTCCTAAGGAGTCTCACAGCACCAGCAAACCACAGCTCATCCTGGATGCTAACCTTGGCCTTGGGCATGGAACATGGGAAGTGCCTTTGAAACCCAGCCTTCAGAGAACGGCTTAATTGGCTCTTTTGATTTCAGGGCTTCCCTTAAAAGCACATTCAGATCCAGCTGCAACCAACTACTACTGAGCACCTACTGTGTGCTAAGCTATCTCATTAACTAGACCATAAAAAAATTGTCATTGTCCCCATGTCATAGATGACAGGCATGGGGGTATCCTTACCCAGAGCATGGGCTCCACAGTCACCAAGGCCTGGGGTTAACCCCGGCCCTCTGCTTCCTATCTGTGGGTCCTTGAGCAATTTATAGAATCCCTCCAAGCCTCAGTCTCCTCATCTGTAAAACGAAGATAATGCTAGCCCCCCCTTTCATGGGGCTGTTTCAAGGTCTGATTAGAATGGGCATGTGAAGTGCTCAATTGCGAATGCCTGTTACTACTTATAAGTATTATCACCAATGCTATCATTACCATTTCTGGTAGAGATGAGAAAAAGTAGGCTCAGAAAGGGTGTGTGAAAGGACATCACTCAAAACACCACAGTGTTCTAAATTTTTTTTTTAAGATTTTTATTGGGGAATTGGGGGATGGGAACAGCACTGGGGAATTGGGGGAAGGGGAACAGACAAGTTGCTCTCCTTTTGTTCTTCAGTCTAGTTGTGGAGGACATTGCTTCACTGGCCCAAGTTGGCACCATCATTGCGCTCTTCCAGGGCGAGGCAGATCAGTCGCCGGCCTCTGGACGGCCACTCATGGATGGCGGCTGCTGGCTGCTCACGCTGGCTGCCGGCTACACACGGTAGCCCATGGCAACCCACTGCATCAGGGGCTGCAGCCTACGCCGTCGCCGGCGACTCATGGCAGCCTAGCTCCAGGTTGAGCTGTTGTTCAACATCTTAGCTGTAGAGGGCAGTGTCACTGGCCCTCATGTGGGATCTGAACTGGGGCCCTCTGGCGTCCCAAGCCAGGTCTTAACCAATGTGCCACTCGGCTGGCCCTAAATTTTAATCAAGTCCATGGACGGGCCAGGTGGGTGAGTGTTGAGGTACAAAGTCGCCATGTAACTGCCCAAGCAACTCAACCTCTCAGTCCTGGGGGCTTCACCTACACAACAGAGGCAGCGTCGCCCAGTTTGTGGGGCTTCATGTGCTAGTGCAGACGCAAAGCCCCCAGCAGAGCGTGGAGTGAGCATGAGGCCACAGAGGACTAGTCCCTCCCTTCTTATACGCCTTTACTGAAGCCTCCAAAAATGTAGCCTGCCATTCTACATTCTGCTCCTGCATTAGAATTCTCTGGGAAAAAAAAAATTCTCTAACACACAGGTTCAGTGCACCAACCAATGGCAAGTGGCCCCACTGTGGGACTAAGGTTTCTCCTGAGGGTGGAGTGGAACCAAATTTGCCATGGCCCATGTTGTTCTGGGCCTGAGTTAAAGTCTACATGTGCATGTGGACAATCGATGCACATGTATGCACCCGAACCTCATCCAAGCAGCCTTCCCCACAACCACATACAACGCCAGCCAGCAACCTGCTGGCCTCTGCACCAAGTCCCGACCATGTGGCAATCATAAGAGAAGCAATAGTAAAACCAACCATGACATCTCCTCCCTTCTCTTTATGGTTCCCAATGCATTTTCACTGTTAGCTGGGTAAGGCAGAGGCTGTGTTTTACTCAACTGTAGATACCCACTGAGTAATGCTCGGTACAGAGTAGATATTCAGAAACGATTTCTTAACTGAATAAATTTTATCTTTATAACAAGATTTTCAAAAATCAGCATAACTCAGCACTTACGATCAGTTACACACCCTGCTAAGCACTGAACATGGGTCCTTGCATTTCCTCGTCACAATCACCCCATTAGGAAAGCTCAGTTATCAATCCCTGTTTTGCAGAAAAGGAAAGTGAGGTTCAGAGAAGTTAAGTGACTTGCCTAAGGTCATGGCTAGTGAGTGACAGACCTGAGATGTGAATCCTGATTCCAGACCCTGGTTCTTAACACCCCCGGTCATTTTCCTCCTCTTTAGCCAGAGCAAGGAGGGGGACAGGAACAACGTGTATGCAGTCTGAAGAAATAGGTCAAGAATGCAATGGTTTTTGTATTTGGAAAACCAGAAAAACCCTATTGTCGTTCTGATACAAAGTAGAGAAAGCAAAGATGAGCAAAACCATCTTGGCCGAAGGGACATGAGTCTCTGTTCTACTCAGGCACATTTATGATCACTTTCTAGTACATTCTCGGCTCCCTTATAGCCCACAGCATGGGGCTTGTTGGTACTTCTTCTGTGCCCTAACTTCCCTCCTGTAGGTCCACCCCCCTCCAACATTCTAGCAGTTTCCTCTTGATCCCACCTGCTACTGTGAGAGACAAGGGGATCATCGTTTGTAACAGGGCCCAGGGTTGTTAAGTTCCTCTTTCCTTGGAGGTTTTATGTCTAGCCCCTGCCCCAAACAGTTGCTTACAATAAAGTTTATGAGCGACTGTCTACCAGAAGCAGGCAGGCAAGGAGCGATGGGGTTGGGCAACCCAGAAAAACTTCATTTTCCTTTTTTCCACAAGGGAAAATGAGTAGCACAAATGAGGAAATGAATGGCACTGACGCTCAGCCCCAGGATCAAGGGCAATAGGGAATGGTGGGACTGTGGCCAATCCAGTACCTTTGAAGGAGTGGCTGCTGCCCAGCTCAGCCACATTCTTCCTTGTAGGTATGCAAATTCAGTGTTGACGATTCTTTCAGCCTTCAGTGGGATGCCAGAACACTATTTCCTTTTCCACTAGAAAATTTCCTAGTTCCTGAATGTTGGCAACTCATTCTTTCCCTTCCTTTTTTTTTAAAAATAAAACACGAGTGGGCTGAATTTGGCTATGAGCTACATGTTTATAATCTCCCTTTATCCCTGTGGCCAGATAGCTGTGCTCGCCAGACATCCCTGTGCTCCCCAACATTTCCCATCCTCCCTTGCAGCTAAGTGAGGCCGTGCCTCAGGTTCTGGCCTGCAGTCAGGAGTGGAGGAACCGTGGTGACTTCCAGGCCAGGGCAGTTAAGAGGCACCGTCTCCTCCCATTTCTCCTCCCCGACAAGGTGCCAACCCTGGAGGCCATGTGGTGCAGATGGCACAGTAAGGCAACAAGATGGAAGTGTCTGCCCTTACAGACTCCCGGCAGGTGAGACCTTGGAGTCTGTCCGGTGAGGCAGCCAGCATTACCTGCACTAGCACACACCTGGTGTGCCTGTCTTAATTACAAAAACCTACATGCAAGTAGTTTAGCATTTTCTGGTTTTCAAAGCACCTTAACCCTCCTTTCCTTCTCCACTCAGTAAGAAGAAAGGTTAAAGCTTTGTTATTTCACAGATGAGCAAACTGAGGCTCAGAAGGTAGAAGTGAATAATCCTGACCTGTGTGGCAAGTAAGTAGTGGACTGGGATTCTAGCTCTGGGTTCCTGAGTGGACTCCCTGTCCAGTGCTCCTCCTATCTCCTAACTTAAGAGCTGGCGTTACAACGTAAACTCCCTGGTACTCTCTGGGTTGCCTGTGAACTTGTGCTCTCCCCTGCATGCAGCCAATTGCTTGAAGATGCGCCTCTTACCTTTCCTGTGGATTTGGTCCCCTTCCAGATACAGAAGTAGCAGATGGTCCAGGCTGCCAGGAGACACAAGGCCAGCTCCCAGCGGAGGTTCCCAATGTGCTCGATCCCATCGGAGATGGCCAGGACCCGGCGCCTACAGAAGGGAGGGCCAAGAGTCACGGGGGCTGGAGATGGCTCGCTCCAGCTGAAACTTGAGCAAACTACGCAGAGAGGGAGGCATCACCTGCTCACTCACTCACCCGTCCCCCACCATACACCCAGCATCTTCTCTGAGCCAAACCCAGGACCAGGTTTGGGGGCCTCAGAAAGGAACAACAGCTAGCTCCCTGCCTTCATGGAGTCACTCCATGGAGGGAAAGGGGGCCCAGTTAGTAGACGGGTTACAGTGCAGCATGATAAGGGGTATGATGAAAGGGCCTTTGGGAAGACCAAGAAGCCCCTAGCCTACCTCAGGGTCCTGGGAGACCACTGGACTGTCCACAAACATTCCAGGTCCCTCTCTGAGGGGAGATCACACACCCTGGCCTGCTGAACTCAAGGGTGGCCACTGGACTTGCTTTGGCCAAGTGCCTCTGTGTCCCTTCAGACAGAAGCTTTCAGAGGCAGGTGGCGTGGTTCATTGTGTCCCCTATTCCCTACTGTTGCTGTCATGACAGAAACATGTGTCAAGATGGAGCCTCCAAGAGCCTAAGTTTCTGAGTGACTACACGAGCCCTCCTGTCACTCTGTGCCAGAGGTGTGGTGTGAGCAAGAAACGAGCTTTGTTGCCTTAAGCTACTGAGATCTTTGGGGGCGTTTGTTACTGCAGCATAAACCAACCGATCCTAACTGCTGCAGAGGGCCAGGGAAAGCTTCCTGGAAGAAGTGATANAGTGTGTGAGAGTGTGAGTGTGTGTGTGTGTGTGTGTGTGTGTGTGTGTGTGTGTGTTTTCCTGCCTTGGTGTCCTGAAGCTCTGAAAGGAATAAAAACAGAGCCCTAAAGCAGTGAAAAGGCAGGATTCTTCTTAAAATCCCAGCTAATCCTGCAGCTTCCTTTAAAGTGGCAACAGGAGGAGGCGGGGAAGGGACCAGAATTGTTCTTGTAGCACCCTCCCCTCCCAACCACTGCTCCTGGAGACCAGGAAACAAGGGGCAAAAATCCATAAATCAACCACCGAGAGGAGGACAGAAGAAGGAACTGAGCAGAGAGAGAACAAAGTACAGGAGCCAGCTGGGGAGGTAGCGGGGGCGGCATGAGGGGACGCTTTGACCATCTGGTGGACAGGGATGGCTGCCCGCAGGGGGCAGGGCGTCTAGGCCAGAGGCTGGGCGAGCCACCACACTTCAAAAGTCAAAGGACAGTGAGGTCACCTGGGCCACAGCAGGTCCCGCAGAACAAGGATGCCACTCCAAAAGGCGTCTCGGATCTGACTACTTCTATTCCACTTCCACCCCTGCCCTGGTCACCTGCTAACAGGGTTCCCATGGCCTCTCTGTCCCACTCCCATCCATTCATAAGTGACCAGAGCCAGCATTTAAGGATGAAGATGAGAGCGTGCTACCCCTGCTTAAAAACTGTTAGTGGCTCTCTACTGCACTTAGAATAAAATCCCGCCCCTTCACCATGCCCCATGCTCTGACTCCTGCTGATTTCCCTGCCTCGTCGTTTGTCACCATCAGGTCCATCTGGGCCCCAATGCGCTTCACCTCTCAAATTCACCAGGTCCTTTCTACTTGAGAACTTCATATGTGCTGCTCACCCAGCCAGTCCTTTCTCACCCTTCACATCACAGATGGAGAGCTCTCCTCAGGGAACCCTCTTCTGATCCCTTGAGGGGTTCCTGTGCCCTCATTCTTCTCTCTCACAGCCCCCCTTCTCCCGTTCACAGCATTCTGTGACTTGGTCATTCTCCATTTCCCTCACCAGGCTGTAGCTCCACCGTTTGGCTTTACTCGCCACTGAAAAGAGCCCCCAGCCTGGTGCCTGGCACATAGTAGTTGTGCAATAAACACTGGATGAATGAAAGAATGGATGAATGAATGAGCAAAACATCCATAGCAAGTGATTTGGATACAAGAAAAAGCACATTTGGGGGCTGAAAAGGCTGGGGTGAGATTTGATGGATTCTTCAGAAAAGCTCCCCATTGCAACCACCGCTATAGTTTTTCAGTGTTTGAAACAGTCCAGGCTTTGGGTGATAGCAGTTTATGTGTTAGTTTCTTATTAAATGGCAAATAGTCTACATGAATGAGTTTAATAGATTAGAGATCCACAGGCTTCTTCTGTGAAGGGTCAGACAGGGAATATTTTAGGCTTTGTGGGTCACACAAGTCTCCGTTCCAACTACTCAACTCTGCTGCTGCAGTAGCACAAAAGCAGCCACAGACAATGTGCAAAGGAATGGACGTGGCTGTGTTCCAATAAAACTTTATTTACAAAAACAGGCTGTAGGCCAGATTTGGCCCTCAGGCCACAGTTGGCCAATCCCTGGTCTAGACACTAATGCCTAGCAAAGCCACAAGAAAAGGATATTGTAATGACCAATTTTTCCAGTCTTCAACAAATATGCACAGCAGGTATGACGAATCTCACAATATCCTAACATTGCTCCACACACTGTCATGTGATAAAACAGAATAAAGACAGGGGCGCCTTGAATTTTTTTGAGGTTGTTGTTTCATAGATACAAAGCATTTCATTTGTATCATTCAGCATATCACCAATGTTTGTACAAATGGGAAATTCTAAGTGCAATTTTTACTCTGGAGGTGCTAGGGAGCTATGGAGGGCCCAACATTTGTTGAATGTGTGGTTGGGTGAGTAGATCGATGAACAACAAAAAATGGAGAGGACAGAATGTTTACCAGATTACAAAAGTAACGTGGTCAATAATTGGATGAGACATAAAGGGAGATGTTGTAAAAAATGACTTGAGGGCCGGTCGAGTGGCGCGATGGTTAAGAACTGGCTTGGGA